TGAGTTTTAACCTCACAGGCTGATTTATAAAAAAAAGGTTTTTCTTATCAAGATAGCCTTCACTGTAGAGGCAGCAGCTGAGATACATTAATAGGTAATCATACCTTAATATGTAATCATAGCAATTATAGCAACTGAGCTATACTGTAGACTCAATACAACATGTTCTGGTTGAAAATTTAAACACAATTTTCTGGAGATGGAATTTATGTTCTTCAAATAAGTGAACAATGCAAGACTATTTAAATTATACACTCCTTGTAAGGGTGCAATACAATTTGTTTCAAAATTTCCACATCTTTTATAGATATCCTACAGTTTTACTAAAGGTCTTTAAAATATTTACTGGGTAGTATTTTGCTATTCTTCTGGTGGTAAAGACAGAAGTCTCAAATAAAAAGAACGACCTAAAAAGAAATTACATGGCTTACAAATTTAACTTGCAGGAAAATAAAGGCACTCCCTTGCTGATCCCACTCCTGAGGCCTAAAAGGCTTTAGAATATAAAAGCATAAAAACAGTCATATAGGCTCAGCCCTGATTCTCCACCCGGTTCTGTATCCCAACTCTGGCAAGAGTCAAGCCCAGATGTCACAGAAGATGGCAGAAGAAAACTTAAATATCAGACATGGGATCATCTACTTCTTCTGAAGTCTTGCAGTCCCTGATTATCAAAGACCGTCTTCAGCCTAGATGTGTGTCATTTATACCCTGTCCCCTTATTATCTTTTCTAATCAGCCCTTTCAGTTTATAGCATTTTCCTGTATTTTTAGGAGGCTAGAAAAGAATCACTGAAGGAGGAAAAAAGCTTCTGCAGTGAGCTGTTGAAATGGTGGTTACCAGAGAATTGTAAAAAATTGGAGGACTGAAAGAGCTTCCTAACTTGGGGGCTACATCACATAGCAGAGGCACCATAAGCTGGACAGAAATTCAAGTGCAGGAATATGGCAGACAGCCTGGAAGCGCAATTGAAAGTGGGCTTTGAACACCTAAGCCTCTCTGCAGGAGAAAGAGAGTGGGTTTGTTTCTCTGGGCATTGGATAAGGGCATACGATCTCACAGAAATACGGCATCAACTGCCACTCCATAGATAGGATAGTTTTTGGCCTGCGTATATATGTACATGTACACATGAAGATATACACACACCTTTAAACATGCATTGTACATTCAGACACTGAACAGTCAGCAACACATTTTTAGTTTATAAAAAAAAAAACACCCAGATAAAAAAACGACAGTAACTGTTCCTGAGCTGGAAATAAAATATATACAAGTCTTATTTAGGAACAGGTGAGAATTCCCTGTGCATACAAACTTAAAGAAGGCCTTCAGGGAATTTATGATTATCTTTAGTATTTCTGTTTTAATTTTGCATTCTAAAAAATGCTACAATCAGAACTGGAAGTCAGGCTAGTAATCTGAGAGACATTAATGAGTGATGTGGTAAAGGGAAAGCTCTGTTGTCAAATGTTACAGAAATCTTGGTATACTGCAGATTATCAGATGAGTCACAACTGTATTTGCTATTCATATTCCTTCAAGTTCTTCATGGAATAATATATTATTTTAAGCTAGATGCAGCTGTTGAAAACAAAGAAAATCCTACATTCTCAACACAGGATTTACACAAATAATTTTGACGTGATCCTTAGATTCAGTAGCTCAAGATACCATTAGTGCTTTCAAGAACCATTTAAAGAATTTCCCCGTGTAAAAAAACTCCAAAAAGTAACCTTGTTAATAACAAGTAAACTATGGGGTATTCGTATTATGTGAGCAAAGTTTTTTTTGTATAACACTGTTCACATAAACTATGTGCTTTGCTATGTAAGCTACACCTAACTAGAAAAACTGTTTTGCCACGTAAAAATAAATGCACCTGTTCTAAAACCTGGAAAGATACATATAAACTGTTCCTCTATTTAACAGAATGGTACTTCAAAACAAAATTATACAAATTAAATAATTAATTATTGTGCTTTTTCAGTGCCCCCGTTCAATAAAAAGCAGTCACATGAATCTTTTAGGATTTCAAACAGTGTTTTGGTTGCTTTAAATGATGCATGTCTTAAAACTCAAATGAAGCATTTGAGCATTTGATGCATTTTTAATTGCACAATTAAAATAATTTTTCATGGTTTCTAAATGGATTAGTTCTAAAATTACTTGTCTACTGAAAAAGCATTTCTGCAGCAGTTATCTGATATCACATTTCTAGACAATGCCGCCTTTGTCATCTTGTCCTGTTTCTCATCCTCCTTCAAATGTTTACTGAACACAGTCGCCTTTTTGAAGTTATGCACTGAAAAGAATTCATCCTTCTCTTTAGCAAGCTTCAAAACCTTTTCCTTAGTAGATCTGCAGCAAAAATCCTGTTATATATAGCTAAAATTTACCTCCAGTACACAATGCAACACGAAGTGTTTGAAATTACAAACATATTCCATGTTATGTGCCTTAAGTCCATTTATAACACAATTCCTTGGAACAGAAGGGAATATGTTATTATTAGGAATCTATTGCAATTCAGACCCACTGATGGATGGAAGAACATGGCTGAAACTCAGCCCTAGAGTAATGGATAGGATTGATAAGCAGCTACTTAAGTTAATTTTCTGCAACAAATTTCTTCAAGCTTTGTTTCACTTACTGGAGCTTTTTTCCCCTAAATTACACTAAAAAAAGTTTACTCTTTGTGCTTTAAGAAATATTTACTATTATATCTACCTCTAGGTTTTTTCCTGTTTCAAAGCAAAGATAAGGAAGTTTTGTCTCCCTGATATATTATGTCCAGTGTTCTCAAGAGAGGAGAGGGTCTCAAGCACAGGGGCCAAACTCTGCTTGTGCCTGCAATCTATAGTGGCAAAAGGATAACAGAAAAAAGAAAGTGAAATTTTGAATTTTCAGTAGTTCTGATGTGAAAGAAAGCTGTAAAAAATTCCTGTAAACCGGGCACCTTCCCTCCCACCAATGTATTAGAAGCTCCACCATATGCTGTTTCAGAAATGAACTGTGTTCTTTGGTATCTGCGAAGATTGGGTGAAACTATCAGTGCCTACCCTGAAGCTATACATTTGTTGTGAGGAACACAGCAGGAGGGCAGCAAGAGATATATTATAAAAATATATTATTAAAAAATATTATTTTTTACATTTTCTCATATAATTCCTCCTATTTTGATGGTTTAAACTTCACACAGTCTTAAATAAGCTCTTCACTGCTTCAAAACATGTCTCTAAAAACCTGCCCTATATATATAATTCTTTGCTTTGAATGTTCTGGTTGGTCTTTCAGAAGAAACCAGTTACTGTCAATCAAATACAAATATATTAAAAAAAAATCCACTCACATGTTAGTATTTTCAGCAAATTATTTATCTGATGATCGCTTTCGTTATGTTTGTGTCCCTAATTTATTTAGATAGTGAGGTCTCCGGAACATAAACATCATTTTATTCTGTATTAATAAAGTATTCATGTATTGAGTGATCAACTGTCACTTGAGCCTTTTTGCAATGCTGAAATATAAAGTGAATGAAAACCAGTAAGTCAGTAAGAGGACTCCAGGGAACGCTGTTCCTGTCTGAATGCATGAGAAAGAAACAGCTTCATGAAAATTGGTACTTAGAATCTAATAAGGTGATTAAGCTAAGGCTACACAGTATTTCTCAATAGAGACAGTAATTTCAAGTCTTCTCCCTCTGTTCTCTCTCATTTGTACAAAAAAACCCCCCAAAAACCCTTGTCAAAATACCTTGGAGTTTTTTGGCTGTCTACTAAATTTACTGAAACTGGCCAACAAGTTCAAAAGTTGCTGGCCGGATTACTGACAGAGGGACACAGCAGGATTTCCGTAGGAAGTCAGGCTAATCAGATTGTTTAAAAAATATCCAAAGTTAATTACATTTTATTTTAGATTAGTATTAGATGAAATGAAATAAAATGCTTGTAGAACTGAGCCTTTTTCACCCTTTATGTTTTTGCTTCCCCCCACCTCTCTGGCAATTTCATATAAATAGTTTCAATTTCCCTTCTAAGCTTATTTTTTCCCAAATTCCCAACTTGGCAGTTCCTATTTGAACTAATCCTTTAAAAATCACATTTAAAATATTTCTTTCTTATTTTCCTATATAAATACGTGAAACATTAAAATGGAGTTTCAATATATATTTCCACCGCTCATTCTAGATTTACTGTAAAAGTTCAACAGGCAAAATTTCTTTTGGACTGGAACAGCTGAATTTCCTGTCATAAAATGCTAAAATACAGTTCAATATATGCTGACTTATGCTATTTTGGATATAAAATTAATTTTCACATAACACTTAATCATAAAGGTATTTACCAAAAATATGGAAAAATTAACTGTCTTCAGTCATGTTTCTATTGTTACCTGTAGTTCAACAAATAATGCTCTTATGAACCTCTTTTGTTACAACCTTAATTACCTAATGGACAACACTGCCAAACATTTTAGAATGCTTTAATTAAATTGAGTACAGGGGCACTTCCTTTTCACCTACTCTGTCATTATCTAGCCAAAGTACACACATTTAATACTGTCAGTTTTCCATCATAAATAATTTCCTTCAGCCTTGCAGTTCTATTTGTATTGTTTTTTGAATTTCCTTTAAATTCTTGAAATATTTCTGCCATGTTTTTTCCCAGAACTAAATTTCATTTTCTGTGTATGACCTTGTCAGCACTATAAAGAAAAAGATTCTTCCTTTTTCATTGATGACACCAATGCCATTTTTAATTACTGTCACAGCTCTGCCTTTTCATTGTCCTCTGCACTGTATATCTTATTTTCTCAGTGCTCCTCAGTCTAGAGGGAGATTTTTTTACTAGTATCTCTTAAAGAGTCTTGTGTAGAGTCCATTTTTTCCACCTAATGTTAGGTTTTCAAAATATGTTGTCCAGTCCTCTCACATTTATTTATTTATTTATTTATTTAGAAGTAAGCAGATGGGAAGGGAGTCATGACAGCAACTTACCAAGAGTTCGGAAAGGTCTTTGGTTTGGGGTGTGGGAGAAGAAACCAGGTTTCAAAGCATTTGTGATGACAATGTCAAAATACTCTTCAAAATCATTCCTAGAAAGTAAAGGAAATTGAATTAGTTAACCTAATGAATTATCTAACATGCCACTAAATACTTTCAAAGACTTAAAAAAATAGCAAAACACTTCTTTAAGGCACTTTATTTTCTGATGCTTGTTCAGTGTCACTATTGCCCTTCTTTTCCTGAGGCTGTCAAAAGTGAGAAGACAGCTAGCTGAGAACCCACAGTGCTGTACCTTCAGGATCACTCACTATTTGTCCAAACATCTTCCTTGGCCCAGGGAGTTCTTAAATCTCAGGAGAACATGTAACAGATGACATATTTTAATCTCAGGTGACAACATGTGCATAGACAAGTACAGAAAAGTGTAAATGAGGGATTCTCCTTTATAAAGGAGAGAATATGAAGTCAAGTGATGGGGTAGGAAGTAACTGAAACTGAAGTCACTGAAACACAGGTGCTTACATTGTTGGTATCCATACTGTCTGTATGCACAGGCCTAATGGGTGTCTAATGATGCCACTGTAGTCAACAGAGATCTAATTAACACAGCTAATGAAATCTAAAGGGTGGTTTCACATGCCCTAAAGTTGAAACGGCATTTTGCTAGCTGAACTCTTTCTTCAGACTCCACTGGCTTCTCTGACTAAATCCCCGCTGGTTACAGGGAGGTTGGACATGGGGCTCACCAATAAACACCTACCAAGTACAAGTCTTAATTTGCCAGCTGAATCCCACCGCTAAATTCAGATTTTTCAAATGTCCATAAGAATACAGATTGATATGTGAACTGTGGAAATCCCATCAATTTAAATCGAATTGAACATTTCTGCATGGTATATAACTGGGATTTATTTACATTTAGATATTTTTTAGAGACCTGTACATAAGTCAGTGACATTACAAAGCCAAGAGGAAATATAAGCAACCTTTGGGAACATTCATGTCACCTGTCCTACCATGAGATGGACTGTTTCTGGAGGTGCTGGTTATTCCTACTCTAGGAAGGGTCTTCTCTGTTTTAAGGAATGTAACCTCACACATTACATCATCAAGCTGGGAACCATAACAAGAAATAATAACAATAATGCCTGTCTACAAATTTTGAAGTTACTAAAATATAAAATTAGACAAATGTTAGTCAAAGTGTGGGTTGTTTTTATTATTGGATAATGTAAATATTCCCCATATGTGATGCATTGTCTTATTAGAAATGTCTCATTGCTTAGGTGACTTTATTGCCTGTAACATCCAAAAAATAATGGATACTCTTGCATGGAACAAAGAAGCCACAGATGGCAAGTACAGGATGCGTACAGGCACTAAAATGCTATCCACAGTAGAGGAAGTTTACTGGAAATAACTGTGTAATTTTCAAATAATCTACAATCTCCCATGAGACTGAGATATCTTAACTAAAAAACTGAATGCTCTCCCTATGAGCTTATCTTCAAGCATTTATTTTTGTGCTCTAAATTACATTCCAGCCTTAAAACAGAATGTATTTAAATTTCCTTCCTCTAATGAAATTTTAGCTTTGTCTCTTTTTCTCCACTTGTGACCATATGTAACCTTTACCTTTTTAAAAGAACTACTATCAGATCTGACAACAGTGTGTTTTAAAAATTAGCTTCTGTGTGGACGATTCCAGAAGTTGAGAAAAGAGGCATGGCTTTTTTGTCCTTAGGTGAAAAGTATCAGTAGAGGTAAACTTTTCAAATTAGCATATGGTGCAAATAATGCTTCCATGGGTAGGTTAAGCTTGAACTTTCCAAATAAAGCCAACACTTCAGGAGCACAACAAAGACTTATGGGAACAGTGGCAAGTGCTTTATATAAAAAATTCAACACAGAATGAACAGAGTTTTCACAAGATTTGGTTAACTTTTTACTGATTTGATGAAGAAAAAACTATGTTTTGTGGGGAGAAGTGTTCTCTGTGGCCTTTTTTGAATCATACTAAATCTCATGTACAAAGCTACTGATTTTATGAGAGCCTGTATCTTGTGTTACGTTACTGAAACACTATACATGATAAAATCTGCTCCAGTTACTGCTTGTCCTATTGTGGCCTGTGGTTACAGCAAATGGCTAAGACAAAGGGTAGGATGTATCTCACATAACTTTATCCATCTAAAAATTGCACGCTGAATTCACAGCTGGTGGTCTACACCATAGACAGAGCCAATGGAGAAACATCCACATTCTTAGAAGGTAATTCATCCCACTTATTTCAGACATAATTCTATGGTACAGAATGAATTGCCAAGGATGGTACCCAGTGTTTTCTCTCCACTAACCACAGAGGGAATCAAAATGACCAGCTTCAGAAAATCCCTAGCTTTCATATGGCTAACATTCATGAAAAGGGGAAATGACACTTGGCTTCAGTGACCATGTGATGACTGACTTTGTCTTTATGTGTGCTCCTGCCAATGCTTAAACATTCAGTTACCTTGACACGCATTCTCGTGGTAGGTAAGCCTGAAAAGTCATGACATGATGTTGCTACTTGTGTGAACGAAGTCGCACTTGCTTCTGTAGGTTGAATAATAAGAATGTGCTTTGGCCAGGAAATGGTTCTCATTTTATTTCAAAATTAGATTTTCTCTTAGACTTCTTCTTATCAGAGTGTCTTTCAGTTGAGGACAACTTGGTCAGATGAACACATCTGGGATAGTTTGCACTTAAATGGTAAATGATACACTTAAGCATGAATTTCCCAGCATTGATTTTATGTGGACAATAAATTTTTAGCCAGAAAGGAACTTCTTTATTTAAGTGCAAAAAAATTGTTACAAGGTAATAATACAATATTAGGAGTAAGAGGCTAAAATTTCACACACATCTCCATTTTTCATCTTTATCCTTAGGTTTTTTTTTTTTTGATGTAATACTATACAGTTCTGAACTTCTCAGTATGACATTGAAAGAAATTAACAAAGGACTACATAGAAGTAATTCATAAGGCTTGATGTCAAGAATAAAATGCAGTTAGCTTGGTCAAATTAAAGTTAAGGGCAGAGATAACAGGTGTAAACATAGACTATATTCCAGTATAGCAAAAAAGCAGCACAGGTGTGTAGAGTCTTATTGTGTGATATAAGAGGTACGGAACAAATAAAGACAATAAAAAGTTTAGAATTATTTTCAGGAAAAAAATACTTGAGTAAGGTCTAATGGACAGTGGAGTACTCAGTCCTCCAAGATATCTTGGAAGCCACATTGCATGAGTTACTGGAAAATATGATAGTAATAAACATTGTAGAACATCCTACACTTATGTGTAAAGACAGAGTGATCCAGTATCCTAGCAGAACATCTCTCTTCTGTCTTTTTAAAGGCAACCAATCCTCTCTGCTGCCTTGCTTAATCTCTTCAAGCAGGATCTCTACAGCTGCCTTAAACAGCTGAAACATTATTCACCAAAGAAAAGAAAGCCAAAATAATTATATGTGTCCAAGAATTTAGTTTTATATTAAATTTTCATTCAGAAAACAACTAGACAGATCTACACAAAAGAGTTAATCCACAAGCATCTTACTCATAAGGAGAATTGTTCTTTCTGAACAGGTATATTTTTGCCTCAAATGAGCAAGTAATATTCATGCAAGGTAGTGAGAGCTGGCACAGCTGATGCTCAGTTCATCATTTAGCCCACAGACTATAAAAGAGAAGTAATACTAGCAGGACTGATTTTGAAAGGTAGTTTTGTTTTTCACCTTACCTGTGGTTTTCTTACAGTGTCCCTGTATTCACTCTGCTGTTCCCCTGCGTATCCAGATAGTCAAGGTAAGCTCATATGGCACTACTTTGTTTCTTTGACTCATTTATTGAATAGTCTTACTGTGTCACTCACCTAGCTGTTTGCATCACTGATTAATTTGTTTCTAGGGCTGTAAGTGATGGTTCTGCTGAATTTCACTGAATTTGACTTGACCAATCATGTTCTTAACATTACAGCTAAAAATAGCTGTTGTGACTATTTGCAGGGGTTGATAGTGACAGGACGAGGGAAATGATTTTAAACTAAGAGAGGGGAGATTTAGGTTGGAAATTAGGTGGAAATTTTTCAGTCAGAGGGGGGTGAGGCACTGGAACAAGCTGCCCAGAGAAGCTGTGGATGCCCCATCCCTGGAGGCATTCAAGACTAGGCTGGATGGGGCCCTGGGCAGCCTGCTCTAGTGGTTGGCAACCCTGCCCACAGCAGGGGGGTTGAAACTAGATGATCTTTAAGGTCCTTTTCAACCCAGACCATTCTATGATTCTATGATCAGTACCTACAATCTCAACCAATTGCCAAGTGTAGTGAACTACCTGTTTTATCTTTTTTGCTGTGATCTGTAAATGCACCTTTGTCATGCACAACCATCTCTTCGAAACCACCATTGGGAAGATGTATTTGTAAGCTTTTCCATGCAGATTGCACAGAAATGAAATATTACTGCTACTTGCACTCACCACTGCAGAAGCACAGAAAGGAAGTGGATTGAGTAAGAGAGTCTAACAAAAACTTATGATAAAATAGGAATTCAGATGATGTATTGGGCATTGGCCTGAAAGATATTCCTTGTCATCTTCAATCCCATTACGATGCCCAGAAAAGATGCAGGATATAAGTGTGCTGTAGGTCAGCTCACTGGCTCATAGGTGGACTACTCTGCCTTGAGTACTCAGTAACACTCTACTGGAGAGAGCCGCACCAGAAACCTCAGATGCAAATAATTCACAACACATAAAGAAACTCAAATTAACTTCCCTGTAGCTCAGGCTTGTCTCCAGTTGCTGTCTGGCAGATATAATTTGAAATGGACATTGCACTCACCCAATAATATATTCACACACGAGCCTGCAATAGTCACTGTGAGAACTAGTAATTAATAGCAGAATCTTCCCAGCACTCTTCAGTTGTTTCAGCCACTTTTTTACAGACTCGGGACATCTTTGTAAATATTTGTCTGGATGACTTTTCACTTCTGGGAAATACATCCCACAGTCTTCTAAAAAATTAAAACATAGTTATGTATTATCCAATCCTGCTCACAAACCACTTAGTCCACACAACAAATATCCTTTTATGTGCAAACAATACAATTTTTAAAAGGCAAAGCAAAGTTTAAAATTTTCCCTGGGTTGTAACTCAATATAAACCAAAAACCCAATCAAACCAAGAGGATACACTGTAGCACAAATAAGTTTGTATGACTTTTCTCTTTTTTTATGGAATTTTCATAGGTTTTTTTTATGTTCTTTGGTCATAAGAGTAGATAATAAATTACAGACTATAGTCTTACTATGTTCTTTGGTCATAAGAGTAGATAATACATAAATTACAGACTATAGTCTTATGCAGCAAATAATTACTTCCTGTTGCCTTTGCTCAATTTTTGGATACTCAGTTTGTGATTTTAAAATGGGTTTAATGTCTAGAAAATGGTGAAGACCTGAAACTACTAAGAACATCTGTTCAGTTGCTTCTGACACTTTAGGTTAGCATTGCTTGATCAATAACATACATTTTAATATTTTTTTGCATTTCATAACTAGCACTTTATCTATGAAACACTGATAAAACAAACGCAAAGACTCATAGGTATGTGGAATACTAGGAACAGATGCAAAAAAACCCCCCCGAAACAATTAAAACTCCAGTTTCAAAAATGCTCTTTTTTTATTAATATAACAGCAATAAAATTTTGCAAATACACTCGGAATGTAAGATTTAAAAAAATGTGCAACAACATTAAGTTGGCAGTAAAAGTTACCTATTAATTAAAGTCATCAATTATGATGGGTTATAACCCATAGCTGCTTTACCAAGATATCAAATTAACATTAGACTTACCTTTCTTTATAATTCCTATGATCTAAGACTACATAGTTCCTCTGCGCTCAAACCCTCAATAACCAAAAATGTCAAGCTAGTTAAGGATCTAAAAAGAAATATAATAATTGTAAAGACAGAAACGATACCAAGTATGTGGCACTCTGTCTGTGTTACAGTAAAATGATGAACATCATCACAGAAGATTATTTTTCTTCCAGCATTTTTTCTATATGCAACTGTCTGTGGTCAACTTTGCTGAATGATTTAATAAATCCCAGACATTACTTAGCCTTCTGGTATGTGAGTAATGCTATTCTCTAGTTTGAAAAAATAAGATGTAAACCACTTGAACTTTAGCTATTTAATGAAAGAGAACATGTATGTTTGAAACGGTAGTATCAAAGAAAGACTGAAAGATGCTGGGTGCTAAACATAACACTATTTCATAAATTACGCATTTGAACATCTACTGATGGTAGGAAAAAAGGTCTCACAAAGGAAGTTTCAAATTGGCTGTTACCACTGCAACTAGACAGGAGACAAAAATGTCTTATTCTGTACTGTGTCTTGACAGATTTCTTCCCAAAAGCTAAAGAGTGGACTACTATATCTGAGGAAACTCTCTCAAACAAAATCTCCTAACTCATAACCAGGTCACTATTCCAGTTCTTCATAGTATTTAGGTCAGGCAGTGTAACAGCCTGTACCAGGGGAATATAAGCATGTTCCTGCAGCCAGCATTATGGGATGCCATGACATTTGCCTTGAACTAGCCAAGACCGATGATTTTTTTGATTAAACAAAGTAGATTTACGAAATAAGGTTTCCTGTAGTGTTTCCCCCGCCTCCTCCCTGGGGTGTGAATATTGTTTGGGATGAGCAATACAGTTTTTAGGAGCAGAAGCTGCATTATTTTTTCAGTATTATCATTAGTAATTATATTTCATATTATATGCTATGACAATTTTTCTTCTTTGTTGTTTTGGAAAGCACACATTACATGAGAATGAAGGGGGACACAAACAAAGCAGGCTTGGCATTAGCTCTCAAAGGATCAAACAATTAAAAGAAAGACGGCAAAGTTTATTTATACATACAGTGATCTATCACTCTTTTTACCCTAAGGTAAAAAGATCTGTTTTATATGAACTTTACTGTTGGACACACTTTGTTTTTCTTTCCTTATCAAATGCCTCCCACCCTCTGTTGACTGTTCTTTGATGTGCAACTAATTTCAAGACTTTGAGTAAATTTAATCAACACTGTCCTCTTTGTCCATACTCTGTACAGTATCTGCTAAGTGATAAATCTATGACATTTGGCCTTTGAGTTACATCTGCATTGGAAAAGGTCAACAACTCTGGATTCAACACATGAGCTGAAAGAGTCTTATTCTAGTTTTCTACCCAGACCCTGAAGCCCAACTGTTAATTGCAGACAAGCAATGAATCAGTTCTTGACACTGGCATCTGAAGTCTGCCTCTGGGCTGTTTGCCATATCAGGCAGAGGTACCTTAAAAGAACGTTCATTAAAGCATATTCTACTGCAATTAGGCCAACATGTCCTGGGAAAGTAGAGTTTAACTTAATTCCTAACATACTATTGCGTCTGGTGAAGACAGTTTGTTCAAATATATACTCATACCTGTAAGGGAGTTTAACCACCAAAGCTTGCAAGATTTTATGGAAAGCCAAATAAAATAAAAGCTGAAAACCTTGCTCATTATCCCAGGCCAAGAGCCAGTTTTGAGGACAGCAAAGCCACAGGCACCTTGTTGGCAAAAGAGTTGTGGAAGTTTTAACGTGTGATGGAGAAATAGCACCAGGTCAAGCCTTCACAATCAAATGGAATGATTTGTCAGTGAGAAATTAAGCATTTTTTCCAAGGATATATTACCACTATGCCATACGCTGCACATTGTTTTTCTAAAGCAGGAAAACCATAAAAATAATAAGAAAACTCTATCGAGCTGAGAGTCAAGCCGAGAAGCCAGAAAAGAACGAATTTTACCAGAGCCAACACAGGAAAGGAGAAAATGAGTTAATGGTATATGAGTGATTTTATGCAACTTTCATACAGCTCTGTTCTTGAAAAACAAAAAAAGTAATTCTTCAAACAAACACCATTCTTGAGAATAAGAAACGTCTCTAGTCTGCTGTACCTTCCTGATAATGCTTATAGGCCATTCAAGTTTCAACATACTCTAAAAATAGAACTATAGGCATGCTTTAGAGAAGCTTTGTTGGTCCACAAATTCACTGTATCAAAAGGGGGACTTGTGGTCACCACTAGACCTACAACTGACAGTTTCTTATCCGTACACCACCTAAAATAAAATCTCTACATTTTTATCTTTCTGCTTTATGAATATCACTTAACATATGGCTATATGGACATTGACATGTATTAATGTGTACCTACAAATCAGTGAAAGCAAACCAATAATAATAAAATAAATGTCCCAACTTTTTCTCGAATACGTCTATTTTTTTCAGTTATCTGTATGCACGCCAAAGCCTACACTAGTAACTTCTGGCTCTTTGGCAGTGTGAGCACTTTCTCAAAATATAAGAAAGCATTTCATGAAAAAAATGGAAACAAGAAGACCATGACAATCACGATAACAATCAACATATTTACCCCTGTGATTGTATAAGAGAACTTAATCAAAATGATGTAGAGCAGGAAAGCAAATATCTAAGCACTTTATGCACAGCTTTGTAATTTATTACATACATGCTGCCATGGAGCAAATGCAGTTTTTCAATTTCCATTCTTGTTACTAAACAACTTGGAGTTTATCTGAAATCTCTGAAATACAGCCTGGGATAGCAAATTAGCAACCAGCATCTGTAGGATTTTATAATCCTCTTCCAAATACACTTTCAAAAATAATAATTGCCTTTGCAGTCCATTAAACATACTTTCAGAAAAAATAGATTTCCTTTTTAAGCAGAAGATAGAAATATAAGCAATTAAAATGAGTTGTCTAGAATGGACACATATGAATGTCCTGCTAGAGCCTCTTATCAGATCTACATCCTGTTGTATTTTCAAAGCAATATAATTTCCTCTATGTATATTATCAGAGGTTCCCTTAGTGTCCGTTTTGGGGTTTGTTTTTTCTCGTCTCATCTGACATTGTAATTTGATCAAGATGTTCTTTGCATCATCTTGCCTTACAGTTTAATTGCTTGTAATACAGCTGTGACAGCAAGTGTGATGGGACCTATGTACAGCTGGAAATGCAGAACCCCCAGACCAAACTCAGAAAGAGCCTATATGATGCTTGCCATGACTGGCAGGAGTCCTCTGGCATAGACAATAATCCCATCTTTAATCCAACTGCCCGCTTCTGCTACAGTTGCAAAATTACTTTATTGAAGTATGCAATTTGATGTTCTAACATAATACAACCATTTGGGGAAAAAATAATGGTGGATTTCTCTTGTGCTCTTTATTACACCACTTCTCCTTCTCAGGGTCAGTTTATACCCCCCTGGCTCTGGACTCCTTTGGACTCAATGTCTGTAAATCCACACTGCCAGGACACTGCAGTTTTCATCCCTTAACTGTTATTTGGATTATAAAAAAGGCAAATGTTCATGCATGTTTCTGGCAAAGTTTCAGTCCAGAACTAAACCACAGGAACACAGTGTATTTTTCACTATTGTCACTGCTTTTAAGGGGCACCTACTTGATTGAATTAAAAAGAATTTATCCACTATTTATACGATTTAGCTAAGCAGAGAGGTATGAGGCTAAAAAATTCCTTAGAATACAGCCAAGAAAAATAAACTTTCAGCTGCCAACTTGTAGCTTGTATTCAGTGGCTTTACGACTAACCACCTCTTACAATGAAAGTAGTATTTGGGAATGTGACTTTTCTCTGTTTAAATTCAAAGGCAATTTGATAGTTTAGCTATCAATACCCATAGCCAGATTCTCTGCAGCTCTGAAGCAAGTAAGTACTTATACCTCACCCCTGAGTTTTGTCTGAATGCAGGTCTGTAGGTAACAGTTATAATAGAAATATGTGTTTGTTTCATAAACAAAGCAGAGCTGAAATAAAGTTTTACTATCAACAGTGATTAAACAACTATATTCATGGCATATTGCTTTCCACTGCAATCTTACAGCACTTCAGGTTTTTAGAGTGAACAGAGACACTT